AAATGGGTCCACAATATTGGAACACCCTTTTATATATATATATATATATATATATATATATATATATATATATATATATATATGTGGGGGGGGCACAGTGGTTAGCAATTAGTTTTCAGAGTTGTATAATTTAATGGACTGGTAGAGGAAGCTTATCTTTGGGTTTTTAACGTGATTTCTTAATATGCTGAGGCGTTTAGTAACGGTTAATATTAGTGTATATAATAATATAATAATTTAATAATATAATAATAATAATATTTATTATAAAACCCAGGTTGTGTGTCTGTCTCATTTTTCAACCGATTTCAACAAAACTTCACAGAACTACGTAAAATTACCTTGCGGTGGTCCTGACAGCGCCAAAAATTGGAAAAACACAATTGTTTTTGCACGAAATCAATGTGAAAACACGATTAAGAGACATCGCTGTCACGAAAATGAAAGGGGGACAACTCATATTGAGTTATACTTATTATAAAACCCAGGTTGTTTTGTGTGTGTGTGTGTGTGTGTGTGTTCGTTTATATATGGGATCGGATTTCCTACATTTTTCAACCGATTTCAACAAAACATCACTTTTTTTTTTGGCGAGTAGTGTTTCTTATTGTCTTGCACACTTTTTTCTTTATTTTTACATTCAGAATGCTTTAAAAATTCCATTTACAAGACAATTGTTTATAATAAAATTATATTCAATCGGTAGACTCATAACGATTGAAAACAATGTTTTTGTTTAAGTTTGGGTTTGACCAATTCGTAAAAAAAAAAAAAATTAAGACATAATCTTTGTCAATTTTATTTTTCAGTCTTTATGATGGACGAATACTTGATCTATCTCTTACTGTTACATCCCCGGGCAACGCCGGGCTCTACTGCTAGTATTTTATATATCTATATATATTTATGTATATATTTATTATTTATATTATATATTTATTTATATTATATATTTATTTATGTCATATATTTATTTATTATTGTACATATTCATATATATTTATGTATATTATAATGATATTATAATAATATAATATATAATAATATTAGTGTATAACGATTTGATATCTAAGCTAGCCATATCTTTATTTTTCATGTTTATGTTTCTTATTCTCTGCACATTAAACACATTATACATTAAGCTCATTAAACATGTGAACGCGCATTAAACACCTGAGTGTTTACTGCGCATTCGGTTGATGACGCCTACAATCGGGTTTAGGAGTTTTGCAATTGATTTAGGTAGTTTTTGTAGGCACTGTGCCAGCTAATTACTAACCACTTTTTCTTCTCTTCCCACAAAAAATTCTACAAGCAAAAATTCAGTTTACCAATGGCGTCTCCAATAAGCAGTTCTTGCTTAGTTTAGTATTTTTGGCAACTCCAAAGTAAATGCGTAAGTTTTCTTACAAGAATATTTTAGAATACACGAATTAATGTTGGTGAAAAAGTAAATACACAAAATAACAAACTAATTGGTTTGCAGTGCATGATAATATTTATTAAACAAAATTAACAAAAGGAAAATTTAGGACAAGAGTTTCTTCTCCTAGAAATAAACTGCATACACAACGAAATCTTAAGGAATATATTTGAGTGTGACTTACTGTATTGGTGTGTTTTAGTTTGAAGCTTTCACAGCCCTTTTAGCTTCAGCGTGAAAAGTTCATGTCACATAATCCAAAAGAGGAAAACCCGGAAGAGAGAGCTACTTAATACATTGATTTTAATTATACCCCACAGCTGCAGCTCACACAAGCTTTATTAAAACATAGACTTGTATCATACCTAAAATCTCCACTTGCGTCAGATACATCGAATTCAGAAATGAACACGAAATAGAAAATCTTTTCTTGCCATCCGATTAATACGAAAGAATAACAAATTAGAGTTTAAAGTTAACACGCAAACAGATGGGTAAATAGGACAGACTGAGCTCTATAGCCTTGGTTGACAACCAGTCTAGGAGAAGGAAAGCTCTGAATTACAACCATCTTGTAAGTTCTGTCGCTTTAGACATAGGCGAGATTTCAAAATAAAAATCCACCTTGCGTGTCGTCTCGCAGAAAGGAACTGCCCCTCCCCTACACACACACATACACACACACGCGCGTGCGCGCTACATCGAGCCGCGACAAAAAATAATGAACTCCTCGGGCTTAATATTCGAACAAACAAAAAAGTACGACGCGGTGGACATCTCTGATTTCAGATCATTCACCCTACGGCAATTTAGACGACAACTCTCAAGATATTAAAATCGGAACTCTGATCTCTAATTTTCAGCCGTTAACCATTACACCACCGGCAAAGCCAAGCTTACAGCATCCAAACGGTCACCCATATAGGTACTAGCCCGGCTCGACGTTGCTTAACTTCGATGATCGTACGATGACAGGTATTTCAATGTGATATGTCCTTAAGCCGGACTAACATGAGGGCATATTTGTAAATAGCGTTTTCTCTCAGTGTATTATCGGCTTCTGATTCGACTTTAAGCAAAAATTCACAAAATAAATGGCTCAAGAGCCTCTCAATATAGAGAGTTATCTTTAAAAAGGTAATGATTAATAAGGTGAATGATTTAAATAAAAAAGGCGGTGGTAGTAGGAGAAGATTATAAAGAGAAGAAGAATCGTGTAAATTTCAGAAATCAGTGCACTTTCTATGCTTTTTTGCCTAAGTACATTACTTTCTCTAAATTAAAGCAGCACTTTTAAACTGAAATTATGGTCGGAATCATAACGATGAACGAATAAATAACTAAGTCTGCTGTTTTATAAGATATCCCTTTCGTTTGGTTTGGTTGTTTTTGTTTAGTGGCATATCAACACTTCTATGGGTTATTTAATGCCGAATCTAAATATGAAAAATCAAACTTTATAATTAATTCAAAAGATGACATTATTTCATGAATAAATTATAATTACTTAGCTGCATTTCTTTGAGCAAATAATCTTAGAAAATCAACAGACGTGAAAACTTGTTTATCATTACAAGAAATGAGATTAATCATAGCAAATTGTTTTTTTCTTTCTTTTTTTTTTTTTTTTTGACAATGTATGCCATATCTTTAATTTTACTTTAAAATGCATTGTTGGTAATTTATACTACTATATGTATTATTGGTCATTTGATTATAAAACGCATTGTTGGTAATTTTTACTACTAAACGTATTATTGGTCATTTTATTATAAAATGCATTATTGGTAATTTATGCTACTAAATGCATTATTGGTCATTTTATTATAAAATGTACTGTTGGTAATTTATACTACTAAATGTATTGGTCATTTGATTATAAAATGCATTGTTGGTAATTTGTACTACTAAACGTATTATTGGTCATTTTATTATAAAATTAATTTGTTGTTAATTTATGCTACTAAATGTATTGTTGGTCATTTTATTATAAAATGCATTATTGATAATTTGTCCTACTAAACTTATTATTGGTCATTTTACTTTAAAGATTTATTGTCGGTAATATTACGATAAAATTGTATTATTGGTATTTTTTTTTTTTATATAAAAATATAATAATGATAATTTCACTTCAAAAATGGATTGTTGGTAATTTTTTATAAAAATGTATTGCTGGTATTTTTACTATAAAATATATTTTTCTACGCTTTTAGTCTTTTTTGTTTACATCAGAAATAAGTAGTTAGATACTATTCCATTTATTGTATTATTTCTTTGCCCCACTGATCTTTTAAAATGGATGAATCTTATTTTTTTCTTACGAATTGTGATACGTAGATACTGGTATTTATTGGATCTAAAAATACAATTATGGCACAAGGCCGAAAATAGGGAAGGATTTGATGCTGGTCTTCACTATCTATCTTATACCTAGCTAATCCGATTCACGACCCTTTCACTCATTACAATTTGCACATTCACCACAAAAATTCGCCCGTCGCCAACTATAATGCCACATCCTCTCAACGGGGACCTACAAAACGCACCCCATGCCATAAAAATTTAATGATAATGAATTATTATATATAAAAATCTAAAGATGAAGAATAAGAGGAAAGGGATACGAACCTAATAACAAACTAAACAGAACTGATGTTAGTAAGGCCCGTCCAACCCTCAAAAGGAGAGACCGCTGTATTCTGCCCGTTGGACACAATCAAGAGGCTTTCTCGCTAAGGGAGTGGGAAAGGAGAAAGTAATGTAATATAATATATTATCAGAAGATAATACATAGATATTACAGTATTAATTATATTACTCCTTTACCCCTTTGATCTTTTAAAATGAGTGAAGCTTTAATTTTTAAAGCGTGACGTACGCCTTATAACAGAAATAAGTAGGTAGATACTATTTTATTTATTGTAATATTCCTTTAGCTCTTTGATCATTTAAAATGGGTGAATCTTTATTTTAACTTACGAATTATGACGTACGCCTTACGTCAGAAGACACCTTGCGAAATATGATATTAATATACAGAAAATGAAGTCTTTGTGTTAGTTCTGCCTTATAAAGAACGTCGATTTACTGATCGATTCGAATCAATAGGATTTGATTATTGATCTATGAATATTTGAGTTATCGTAACGATTAGTAGTGAAATTAAACAAAGGTAAAAAAAAGGTAGTAATAGTTTGGAAGCAAAGAAAAATGAACATTCTTCTTTTATGTTCCTTGTCCTTTCAGAACTCCACATCTTCTAGTCGCTTGTAGCTCTTAGTAAGTTTTGTCTTTTTTGTTATTTCTTCCAAACCCTGTCCTGCCATCATTTTGCTCAAGCCCACCAAGTATGTTACATGCTGTTTTCCTCTGTCTCTCTTTCCCTCAATCTATCCCGTGAGTATCAGATTTTCCAAGCCCTCTTTCCTCATTACGACCCCCCCCACGAAATGTCAACTGCCTCTTCATGATGTTAACTATTTTTTTCCTTTTTGGTTCCATTTTCTCTAAAACTTCGCTATTGCTCAAATGTTCGATCTATGGTATCCTCAGCATCTTTCTGTAGAAACATATTTCTGTTGCTTGAAGTTTGTTCTCCATCTTTGAGGAGATTGTCCAGCATTCGCTCGTACGAGGGACAAGCTGGAAATGGAAACTCAAAGTGGGACACAAAACTCAACGCTAGTGTAGTTAATTATATATATATATATATATATATATATATATATATATATATATATATATATATATATATAATTATTAATTTAAAAATATGATTCCAAATCGCGACATAAGAAGTCCCATGTTTCAAAACAAGAGCCGAAAACTTCAATATAATTATTTAAATTAAATTGAGTTAAAATAAGCTCTGTTCCATCTTCAAGCGAAATTTTTTTAGCGATGGAATCATATTTTTAAATAAATAATTATATTTATGCTCTACTTTTTTCGAATAATATTTTTTTAAATAATAATTAAAATACTAACCACTTTGGATTATTTTCTATATATTCCTTCCTACACATATATTTTCACACACACACACACACATATATATATATATATATATATATATATATATATATATATATATATATATATTAGATAAGAAGAGTGCGGGTTCCAATTTCCCCAGGAAATCTATCCTAGATTTCTAATTCACATTTCTATCCACGGACAAGCTGGGTACAGTTGCGTTTAAAACAAATAATATTTCAGATTAAACTAAATATAATTAAAAAAAAAAAAGTAAAAAAAGAAGCCCATCCCATACAAAGCGGAAGGCCTACACACTGTAGAGTTTTACCAGATGAAGTTGTAAGAGCTTATATATAAAGTACAGTGTATGTGTGTGTGTTTGCTTACTCGTCCGATTTCAATGATTCATAGCTCATTCAAAGGCCCTAGAAAAGTTAGGCGCAAGGAACGAATTTCGTTGAACTCATATTCAGGGTTGCCAGATTATGCCAGGTTAAATATATATATATATATATATTAATATATTATACTAGCCATTATCGTTGCTGTCCTGATTCAAGGGGAGTAACTCTTATTTCTCTTGTGTATCCAACATTGCAGTGCACGTTTTATTATAAGCTAGCTTAAAAGTCGCCCTATCGGGCGGCATTTAAGCTAGTTCCTATGGAGGACTCTTGATTTGGCCATCATCACAATAGCTAAGGCGGAGTAGATGTGATAGGCATCAATAAACTACAGAACTCAAAATTGATTGCTGCTTTTCAGTATTGAATTAATGTTTAAACTTACCTTTTAAAAGTTCAACGATAATTCTCCTGCTGTTACTTAATTTAAGGACGACTTGATGTACGTAGGTCCTTATTTTTCGAACAAATAATTTCATGGGTGACAGAACAGGGGACAATTTACAAAATGAAATTACTATAGCGTAGAGTTGGGAAAATAGAAATTACAATTAGTTATACATTCAACATTTGAAGAGTTAGAGAAACAGAATAACTAAGTAAAACATATATTATGAAATCTAAATTATGAAATCTATATTATGAAATCTATATTATGGAATCTATATTATGAAATCTATATTATGGAATCTATATGAAAAAATGAGGATTTAGAGCACAATTGCCTAACGAATTCTAGGGTTAAAAATGCCCAATACTAATTAATAGTAATTCATACGCTATAAGTGCAATATCTGTATTGGAGTTGGTCGACCCATTGAAATACTAAACTTAGCCTAATTTGGGCCGTCGATCGCAAGTCCTGTGACCCATCTGGGGTACCGCACGCACTGCAGCCGCAATAGAAGTGGTGTTTCTTGGACAAGATAGCCTGAAGGAGCCCAACCATTGCCGGTTTTGAATTCAGAGTTACCTTCTCCTAGACCAGTTGCCACGCAAGGCTATAGAACCCAGTTTGTTCTGCTATTTACCCATCGCTAGGGGCGAGAAGAAACCTAATTTGAGCATAAGCCTACAAAAGCGAGTCCCCGAATAAGAATCAAACTCACTAATCAGTACTAATGGCCAACCAGACTAGCTCATTAACCATTGCTAAACTCTGATACGCCCATTAAAATAATGTTGGACACAAGGCTTCAAGGGGTGGGTCACCTAGTGAGGATCAAATTCAGTTCTCTGTAGTAATGGTCAACTACACTAGTTCCCCATTAGCTGATGGGCCCATTAAAATACTTAGCCTAAATTAGTTTAGAAAAAAGGCTACAAGAGCGTGTCACCCAGTGAGAGTCGTATTCCCTATTTATGTGTAATAGTCAAGAGGATGAGCTCGTTAATTGTTATGGGAATTTACCCACGCACGCATGGACAATCCCAGCCATAAATAGGAGCAGGTACTGCCTTTTACAGGGTAAAGTTTCCAGCAGTCAGCTCTGACAGTCGGACCGAACATTCTTGCTGTAACACTCTTGGTTGTATATGTTTGTATTACTGTTTCTGTTAATATATTTGTTTAACACAATTCCTCTCTTTGTATCTTTTATTTCTGGCCCTAACAAGGCCACAACAGTACCTTATCTCAGTCTGTTCATTATCTATCTATCTATCTATCTATCTATCTATCTATCTATCTAAGTTTGTTCCTGTTATGGAAATCTACCCACGCACGCATGGACTCGCCCAGCTATAAATAGGAGCAGGTACTGCCTTTTGCAGGGTAAAGTTTCCAGCAATCAGCTCTGACAGTCGGACCGAACATTCTTGTCGTAACACTGTCGTTTGTATATGTTTGTATTACAGCTCCCTCTCTTTGTATCTTAATTTCTGGCCCTAACAAAGCCACAACATTAATAATTATAAAGGTTCACATAGTGTGAGTGATATCACTGAAAAATATCAAAAGTAAAATCATTTTTAATATGGTCATGCTAATAATCTTATTTTTCTTGGTTTTATCCTTTCAGTTGCTGCGTTCTTCAACCTTCCTCATCGACAGATTAGACATTATCAATAATATCGCTACTTATCTACGTTAATATTCTCTTCAGTCTTAGTTACGGCCGATGCGCTCTCCTACCTCACTCATTCTCCCATGTAAACTTAAATATTCGGATTGATCGATTGTTTCGGATTCCTGTACCTGTTGCTTCCAGTACCCAGTGTTCCTAAACGCAACCCCTCCATCTAAGTTCTTTCTTTTTAAGTGCCGAATCCTTTCAGGACGTAGACGATCATAGCCCTCCACTTCTAGCTCTTCACAGGTTTTGTATTAGTGCCAACTCCCCAGACCACGCTCCGCCATCCACCTGCCCAAGCCAGGTATGTCATTCGCTGCTTTCACCTGTCTCTTTTTCCCTCTATTCGTCCTGTGAGTATCAGATTCTCCAGGCCTACATTTCTCATCCTGTGTTGTGGTAGGATCCACCTAATTTGCATAGTGGAGTACCGACCATATAAATATGGTTGGTACCGGGAAGAGAGGGAGGAATCAAGAGATTCAACCAGAGACTCTGCCCGACTGCGACTCAGTCAACACATTCTCCAGGAACGGTCTTACCATGAATATACAAAAGACTATATGTAAATATTGTGTACACTTTCTTGTTTCAATACATTTTGTTCTAAGTACATTTTGTGTTGCATTATTATTCCATGCATTAGTCAAGTTTCAACATCACGTATCCCAAAAATTTCATCTGCCTCTTCCTTATGTTAAGCATAAGCTTTCTCCTTGTTTGCATCATCTCCAGGACCTCATAGTTGCTCACATGCTCCCTCCATGATATTCTCAGCATCCTTCTGTAGAACCACATCTCCACTGCCTCGAGTCTCTTCTTCATCCTTGAGGAGACCGTCCAATATTCGTTGCCGTATTGGAGAACAGATGTCACGTAACAGCTCAGTACTATTTTCTTTGTATCCAAAGAAATCCTCCTGTTTCGCAGTACTCGGCCCAGATTTTGGAATGCAACCTTGGCCATCCCAATCCGTCTTCGGATCTCAGCGTCTCACCTACCGTTCTCCGTCAAAACACTTCCCAGATATTTAAACTTCCGCCTCTACTTGATTTTAATGTCCCCGACCTGCAAGTCGCATTTTGGGCTCATCTTTTTACTGATGACCATGCATTCTGTCTTCTTGTAGTTTATGGTTAGTCCTTTCTTCTTGCTCTCCCTCGCTACCTTCTGTAGGAAGTTTTATAATTGCTTTTCCGTCTCCGTCATCAGTACTGTGTCATCTGCGTTGGTAAGGTTGTGGCCGACAATGATGAATCCTGGTAGGATCTTCAGTTAAGTCCGGTGAGAAGACACATCCTTGCCTTACGAACTCTTTCTATTTTTTTATATTCGTTGAGCTTTACGGGCTCGAAATTGCTTAACTTCGGGAATTTCTTGGAATATGTATTATTATAATTCTGCAAGTTATAGCAAAGAAAAGCAAAATCGCTTTGGTAAAAAAAAAAAAAACGGCTTTTATCAAATCTCTACGCAATAAAGATGGACGGTGAATGCCTCGTAATTATAGATGCTCGTGTCAATGGTCGAATGCTTGGTAGTGATACACGACACATCTCAAATTTTCAAACAATCATCACTGTGACAAAAGCCACACGGACGAAAATAAACAATCTTTGCTAGTCTTGGAATAAAAATAATAACCCATATAAAAAAATCAGTAAGGAGGAACGAAGAGTGCATCGGCCGAAATCTAAGGAAAAAAAAAAAAACAAAAGAGATATCAATATTAACCGAGCAATAATGATATTTATTCCTTTCAGAATGTCAATGAGAAAGGTCGAACAGTGCATCTGGAGAGGACCGGGGTGGTGGTACATGTTGTTGGATTAGGAATATGTGCTGTTTATTTCCTGCTAGAAGAAGGTCCAACTACAAGAACATGGCGGACTCAAGTTGAATCCAGCCGAAGATGTAAAGAAAACAAACAAGACCGACATATATATATATATATATATATATATATATATATATTAGGTTGATGCAACAATAATGACGTAATAATGTCGTTTTTTGACGTTAAAAAATACGTCAAAAATGACATTATTACGTCATTATTTTTTCACCAACCTAATATTTCAACAAATATACAGGGTGTCCATAAAGTTTGTGTGCACATTTAAAAATTTATAACTTTATTTGTATTTGCGATAGAAATAATTTGTAAAAAGGATTAGAAAGAAGTAAATCTATATTTTTCTAAGGTTTTATTGAAATTTTATTTAAACTTCCACATGTCCTCCATCATTAGCAATATAAAGGGTAATACGATTTTACATTTCATGGAAAACATTTGCCAAATGATTTACAGTAATGCCTGAAATCACATTAGTTATTTTAGCTATGCTTAAAACTAGGTACATTAAACTTTATAACATTTTTTACAGATTATTTCTATCGCAAAAACAAATAAAGTTATAATTTTTTAAAGTGCACACGAACTTTATGGACACGCTGTATGTATTAAACAACAAATTTACAAGTGACAAAGACATCAACATTTGTGTTTGTGTGTGAACGTAAAGAGTTTGAATTTTGGTGAATGTTCGTACGTACGTGTGTGTGTGTGTGTGTGTGTGTGTGTTTGTGTGTGTGTGTGTAATGTTCACGGCGTCTCCCACGAATGGGAAGACGCTATCTTTTGCGAGAGCTTACTTTGTAGATGTGTTCACTGAAATGAAGAAATGAAAAAGAGAACAAGGCAAGAAGTCGCCCAGAATTTATAGTGTAGGGAGAGCGTCCCCTAGTGGACAGTTAGGGAATTAAGGAGGAGCTAACTACGACACATCGCTCGAAATATCCCGATTAAACCAAAGAGATGAGAATAATATTTCGAACAAACAGAATAGAAAATGTTCCACTTGTTATCGCAACGACCTTCAGAAGAAAGTTATAAATTTGGCAATTATCTGATAAAAATAATTAATTTAGAAAACAATTTTATCTGATAAAAAACAAAATTTAGAAAACAAGTTAACGAATTTTATTGAGTGAATGGCGGATTTTACGAGATATCAACTCGGGCTGGACCACTTAATGGCGAAACCAGTATTTCTGATTTATGGCCATATAAGAATTTAATAGATTTGAAAATCGTTTATATTTCTGTGTGCAAGTATTTACTTGCTTTGGGGATAAGTATATTGGTTGTTTATAATTAAAACTGTAAGTAATTACTTGGTTCCGGAATAGGTAAATATTAGTCATTTATATATGAATCTGTAAGCATTTACTTTCTCTGGGAATAGATATATATTAGCCGTTTATATTTGAGATGGTACGTATTTACTTATTTTGGAGATAGATAAATATTAGTCGTCAATATCTTAGTCGATAAGCATTGGTTTGGGAACTGATAAATAATGTCCATTTCTACTTAAATCTATAAGAATACACTTTGTTTAGGGATATGTTATTATAAATAAATTTGACTAAATAGAAATGTACTTTGAGTCTATAAACATTTATTTGGTTCGAGGATACGTTATTACTTGTCATTTATATTTTTGTCTATAAACTTTTGCTTGGTTCGAGGATATGTTATTATTGCTCGTTCATATTTGAGTGTATAAGCGTTTACTTTGTTCGAAGATAGGTTATTATTGGTCATTTATATTTGAGTGTATAAGCATTTATTTGGTTCGAGGATAGGTTATTATTGGTCGCTTATTTATGAGTCTATAAACTTTTACTTGGTTCGAGGATAGGCTATTGTTGCTCGTTTATATTTGAGTTTATAAGCATTTACTTGGTTTGAGGTTACGTTATTATTTGTCGTTTATATTTGAGTAAATAAACATTTACTTGGTTCATTGTTCGTTGTCTATACATTAGTCTAAAGAAATTTTGACAATTGAGAAAACGTTTCATTGAAGCTAGATTTAATTACGCGTTTCGCCTTTCTAGGCTTCACAAAATCCAAAAACGAAAGAAATAATTTGTGTGTGTGTGTGTGTTTGTGTGTATGTTTAAATAATGAATCATTAGTCACTCATTTTGTTTCTTTTCTTTCATCGCGAGGAAGAGAAAAAAAGCTCAGGGAGAAAAAAAATCGTACTAGCATTCATTATTTAAGCGTACACACAAATAAGCAAACGCACAATTATTTCTTTTGTTTCTGAAATCGGGTGAAGCCTAGAAAAGCGAAACACGTAATCAAATTTACATCAAATGACACATTTTTCCATTTGTCAAATTTCATCAAAACTTTGTCAGGATTCTATATCCTATTTTAAACACATTACAGTGAGTCCTCTGCATTCGCAGGCTTTAGAGACCAGAACCGGTCGTGAATAGTTAGAATCTGCGAATTCTTGTAACCACCCTCCTAAAAGTGCTTATAAGTACCTATTTTGATTGTTAAAACCCCATATACCTTAAACAGCCATCCTAAACACTGTAGAAACATTTCAGATCCTTTTTAAAACATTTTTTGATTGGTAACCATTCACAGCGTAAATTTTCTTTCATACGTACAATAACCGTTTTTAATTACACATGGATCGATGCAACCATTAAAAATATTTTATAAAATATGTGTAACAGGATATAAAATATAAAGTTTCAATCATTTTCAAAAAACACAACTGTGTTGATGCCTACAGACTTAGCATAAGCCAT